ACTGCTGACTTGATATGATGAACTGGATTTCCAAGAATTAGCATGTCGTTTCAAAGAGTAGGTCAGATCAATGAATAAGCCTATTAATTCGGAGAGGATAAGTTTTACTCCTAGACCCTCACCCTGTTTAAAGTTAAATTAACTTCCTCAGTGAATTGTATCATCCAAATATGATCATAGAGAAATTCTACAATGTCTCCATAAAAATAGGGTCTCGTTTGGCATTCTGTCTGTGTAGCTACTTCAGTTTTCAGTTGACACATGCATACATACATAGCCACACTGGAAGATTAAATAAGGGTGATAGAGAAGTAGCTATGGTCCTTTGAACCAGTCCACAGGGATGCAAGCCCTAATCATATCACTAATTTTGCTTCCTAAATAAGAAAAATAAAAACACGGAGTAATAGGAAGGGAGGTGAAGTGAAAGCCTAGAAACTAAGTCTTTAAAGCCATACAGCAGACAGGCAGATTACAACATCCTTGGCATGCACTTATGTCAAGCCCCAATCCAGGCTCGCCATACCGGGGGTGGGGGGAGCCTCCTTCATGTGCTGTCCTGGATACCTGGCCGGCAGACCAGGTCTTACAGGGCCCCATGGTTCCAGCAGCTGGCATGGGGACCCTCACCATTGTAGGCTTCATTTGATGGGGGTGAAGCAGTTAGCTAAGCCCATACGTTTCAAGCAGGTAGACAGCTCATTACTCGGAGGGGTTCCAGCTACTCAGGTCACTGAGCCAGTACGATTAGAAATGGGGGAGCATTGGGAAATCATTAGGTTCATCATGCTAGCAATGATGACCGAGTTGGTGATACTAGGACTGGCATTGAGAGCTTGCCTATAAATTATTCTCCGCTCTTCCCCAAAGGTCTTGGCTCCGTTTAAAAAAGGCTTAGTTAAGTAGATGAATAATTTTTGGAAGATGTTTTAATGCAGTTTCATGACAAACACTGAAATGTTTTTCTAGCTTTTCCTTCAGAAAATCAATTTATGCTATTTCTTTTCAAATATTTTAGTACTCTTCCATTTTCAAAAAGACTTCTAATCATTAATATAGGACATCTCAACCAGTGCCATAGGTACCAAGGGCGGTCACAAAAGAAGCGAGATATAGGTGAAAGGGGATTCATCTCCCCAAATCTGAGGCTTGAGGGAGAGCAGGGTTGGTGTTGGTTCAACCATTGCAGCAAATTTCCAATTGTTTATGCTGAGGCAGATTTGCTTCTTGATCATATGGTCAGGAGGAATGAAGGAGAGGGGGCTCCTCCCCCACTCCAACTGCTGGAGAATGCTTTGCCCCCCCCCCAACCAGCTGCTTCCATTTGGTGCTTATTGAACAGCATGTAAACGTTGTTGAAATCATCAACATCCAGGATCTACAGAGTTCTTAGATGGAGTCCATGCAGAAATTTTATTTTCTTGTTGTTAGATGACATCGCTTCCATGAGGGGAGGGATTTTCTTTCTTTTTGGCTGAAACACTTAATGTACTCTTACTGAAGGAGTTATTTGAGTTTCTCATGTCCCTCGTTAGTGAAATAGATGCACGGCCTTCTTTCAAAATTAGCATGTATTATTTTCCTAAAAATGCAATGATTGGTATTTTACAGCACTAAATATTACTATCTAAATATTACCATGTAGTTAAAATTGAGCATAACCGATAGTTTTCAAGTCACAAAAAACTGCTAATTTCACTTTATTTTGCTTTGCTCAGCACCCACATTTTGTTTCAGTCATGATGTCCTGGTGACTGATGATGTATTAATACTATAAAATGCAAAGATGCTGCTTATTCAGCTTAAGAGACTCATGCTCCCTTCTTTGAAGTAGGCTGATGAAGTATTGATTTTCAGTGCACATCAATTTTCTAGTTCTGTTCCTTTTTTTGTACTTTTTTATAGGTTCTAGTTACCAAATTAGCTTTAAAGTTTATTAACATCAGTTAAGTTTAACTGGACGACAGATAAAAAAAGTTTAAAAAACATGGAATGTGCATTTACGGCACCTGATTTCAGTCCAGCATATTTATCTCAGGAAAAAAACTGTATTCGGTAAATATTGTGCTGCAAAGGATGAGCCATGTTCTGGTAATACTATAAGTTTTAAATATGATGATAAAAAGAGAAAAGTAATGTATTAAAATTAACTGTAATTGAGAGAAGGAGGGAGGGATTTTGATAAAGGGAGAGTCCAGGTTGGTGACTTTAAAAAAAAATTCCCATATTTAAGATCACAAAGAAGTCCTTTATCTGTCTCTTTGCCTTTACATTTGTCTCACTCATATAAATATATGTTGAATTTATGAGAAAGATCCATTAAAATTGCTAAAACCTATACAATTATATTGGAAGAAATATCCTTCTGGGTTCAGTTCCAAGTGGGGAAAAAAGACACTGGAAACATAGAAGCTGCTTGAAAAGGTTTATTAATAAACAGGATGGGTTCCTGGGCAGAAAAGAGAAGAGATGCTGGGAGTCCCTGGGTTTTATACCCTCTCTGGCTTTGAACTTCCTGGGGCACAGGAAGAGTAGTATCCTGATTGGTTGCTGTCAGAGGTCACAACTAGCTTTGTAGGTTGTCTGTGTGCTTAGTTTGGTTGAAACTTGGTAGGTGGTGCAATGAAGGGCAATTGAATGGTTCTGCCTGAAGGAGGTAGATCTTTGTTATGTAGAATAGACTGGCCCAGGCCTTAATGGCCCATTAACAAAGGTTGGGGGGGGGGAGTTGAGTTTCTGCCTCTCTGAGTTTCTACTTCTCTTTTAGGGGGAAATATTCTGCCTTTTTAATATATCCTAAAAATTTCATTTTTCTAGGAGAGAGGTGGTTTTAACTTCCAACAATTAAATGGGCAGGAAGCGACCAAGAAAATATGTCCCTATATAGGAGGCAGGTGAAATGGCCACTGCAACCATCTTAAGTGTGAAGAGGTTGCCAAGAGAATTATGATCACATGACTGGGGGAGGATGATGCAACATTTGGAATTTTGAGGATTGGTACTAAATGTCACTCATTCAATGCTACTATAACTTTAAACAGTTACTATACAAGTTTGTGGATGAATTCGGCAGCATGTCCACATTATTTTCACAGGAAGGCAATCATAATAATTTCTACACCTGGAAAAAATGATTGAGCAGGGTTCTTTTTAGTTAATTTTAAGCAGACAGAAAAACAAGAAGTGAAAATAGATGTGGCTTCCAATTAAATAGAAATTAGATTATCCCATTCCACACTGATATCTGAGATAGAAAAATTAACATTACAAACAAGCTGACACATATTGTTAATGAACTACCTATTAGAATGTAGAATAAATAAGCTGAAAAATAAGCTTTATCAGAGACAATATTAAAAATAAAAAGTTAAATTGTTAAAGAAAATTTCTCTTTCACACTGATTCACAGCTCTGTGTTACAGCTTATCAACTGCAGTGGCAAAGACATCATTTTGAATTCTCATTGTCTGGTTCAGCCTCTTCAGTTCACATGAATCCTTACAAATTTCTGTTCAAGACTTAAGTCCACTTGCCCTATATAAGAAGGGAAAGATATTATTAGCAGTATTAGACATAACTTACCAAATTGTTCCTCAACGCCTTTTTGTATTATCACAATTATTTTGCATTACAACAATCTACGCAGTAGCACAAAACATCTACGAACAGAATCAAGCATACAATACTTAAAACGTGTTTCCAACTCTGATCTACTATAACAAAAGTTAAGACTTTCAAAGTCACCTATGCTAAACCGCAGATTCGTAAAATATTCCGCAAACTCTTCATTTTGGTTTAAAAAAACAAGGGGTTGGGAGGAGAGGAGGAAAAAAAAAACGTTGCATAGCTTCAGGAAGAATAGCATGAACTAAATTGTAGGAAAAAGCAAGGAAACATTGTCCTCTTCCCCACACCCCATCCCAAGATTATGGCACAGATTTCCCGCCAAATGCAAACAGGCTCCCCCGAGCTGTAGGCGCCTATGAAGACCCGGCAATGGATTATATCTCTCCACCGCACAATCCCCACACCGCGTCAGGGACCACCATTACACTCACCTTCATTATGACCCAGCTAACCAGGCGAGGGGAGCATTTCACAGCACCAGAGCAGGGCGGCCTCGGTCCGAGAGTCTACTCTTTTCCGTTGCTCCTTCCTCCCCAGAAAAAGAGGCCAACTGGGTGCGCCCCATCAGGATTAGGAAAGGAGCGAGCGGCCAGAAAGGACCCGAGGGGGCGCGGGGAAAAGCGACGCCAGGGGAAAGAAAGAGGCGGACGCTTCGCCCTCGAGAAGCCCCGAGGGTCCTGGCAAGGCTGCAGCGGGGACTGGGCTATTTCCATGGCGGGTAGCGGCCCGCCACGCACCCTGAAGGCCGAGGCGGAGGCGCAAGGCGCTAAGCCCAAATTCCGCTCCGCCGCGTCCTGCCCCAGCATGTACCCAGCGAGTGGGCGCTCTGCTTCTCCTCCTAGGAAAGAAACGCAACGAAGTTTCACAAACTTCCCAGGGTAGGGAACGCAAGGCAGGAAGGCCGAGTGGGAATCTCCGACCCCCAAAATAAAGTCCGCTCCCCAAAGAGAGGCGCTCCTGCCTGCCTCATGGCCAGGTCGGGCCGCCCTTGGCTTGGCGCTTGCTTTTTCCTAGGGTTCTATGTTTTTATTTTACATTTTAAAATGTAATGTTTTTCTATTACATTACCTGATATTATCAGGTAGTATTATATTAGTAATATAGTAGTATGACATTATTAGTCAGTTTAAACCTGAGTTATTGTGTTTTTGTTATTTAGAGTTTTTTTCCCCTGTTGAATGGGTTTATTTGAGCATGAAACCTGATTAAATAGATAAAAATTTAATAAAAACCCAGATAACAAAAAATGTGGGTTTTTTGTTGTCTTGAGTTTTTTTTTTTTTTTGTTCAGAG